AACCAAAGCCCTGAAAGTACAGCACCCTCCACAGTTGGTCCAGAGGATGGGGAGACATGCAAAGTTCAGGTTCCCAGCAATCTTAGTGGAACCTAGTTCTGAGACATAGTGTCCAGTGGATGAAACTTCAGCTAAGACGCAGAAGTTACCAAAGTTGAAAAATATCCCAAGTTCTAGGAGGAAGGACAAATATGGTGAATTTAATAATTACCACTGGATTGAGCAGCATCTGGAGGCATCACAGTTCACTTATGCTTGATCAATGTCCTACAAAGTGGCTCAAAGTTCAGTGAGTTACCTATGAGAGGTCTCAGCAAGCCTCCAGACAGCAGAGTAGTGGGCTATGAAGGCAGCCCCTGAGTTTAGGGATCAGAGGTTAAGTTACATTCAGAAGCTGTAGGAAGATATTGAAGTCCAGGGCTCTTAGGTACAAGGTTGCTCCATGCACAGGTTGGAACTGAAGCTCTGAATCCAGAGCTGTGTGCTCCGTGACCACCAACCTATGCTTCTTGGCTAGACCCTGGTGGATAGGCTCTTGAACCCTTAGTTGCCGGGGAGGACGGCCACGACGAGGTCTGCCAGCTGACAAGTGGGTATCTGGGACAGACAGACGCTGGGAGGCCAGTGGGGCTCGGCTGAGCTCTTGGGAGCTGTAGGCTGTGGCCCTGGACCTGGCAGCAGCATCTCCGGCAGGTGGTTGCCCAGATGCACAACGACGATGACCACGATGCACATTCCTGCCACAGCAGGTCTCACTGCAGGAAGCCACAGGCAGAGGGGGTTGCAGAGCCTGTCTAAGCCTGAAGTGGCTCAAACCCAGTGAAGCTCTCCTGGCTGCATGGACATCCTTCCAGGTGATCAGGTGCTGCTTCTGGGGAGGTATGAGTTTCCTGTGGTCCACTACTGCCCGGTCTTGACCCTGTTTCCACAGCTCATATTGCTCAGGTTGAAGGATGCACACAAAAGCATCCATGGAAAAGCTGACCCTTGCCTCCCCACAGCTGCACTGAGATGCCACTTTACCATAATCGATCCACCAAGGGGTGGCAAAATTGATGGCCTCTGCACAGTTGAACCCATGTTTGAAGCCAGCATGATAGCCATAGGGAAACGTGACCACGAACTCCCCAGCCTCCTGAGTCACACAGCTGAAGGGGATCCCATTGTCCCTGAGCACTGTGGGTGAGATGAGAGCCACCTTGTGCCTCAGGAAAGCCCCACAGCCCCTGGAGCTGCCTGGGAAAAGCTCCCTGGCTAGGAGCTCCAGGCGCCTGCCATGCTCTGGGGGCACCACATACCAAGTTTTGGGCTCCCCAAAGTGCAGGTAGTTGATGCTATAGAGGTCCATGTCCTCCGTGTGCCAAGCGAACGTGGTCTTCCACATGCCGAAGTACAGGTAGGGTGTGTTGACTCCCTCGATGACAACTTCACATTCTGGCTCCAACAGATCCAGAATGGTTGCCAGGCGCCCAAGGTTCCACTGCTTTGTGTTTTCATCAAACAAGGAGCCGCTGATGTCAGCACCATAAATGGGGGAACCACAGAGGTGATTCTTCCAGTATTTTCTCTCCAAATCTTTAAAACTCTGGTATGGAGGAGTCTGGTACTTTTCACTGTTGGCCAGGTGGTGGTACTCCCTGACCGTCATGCCTTTCTTTCTTTTATGGTATTGAGTAAACACACCTGCCCTCCCAGAGACCACCTGCTGCAGTGGAGTGGCTATCATGAGGTCACTGATGTTGTCATAGGAGTCTCTGGCTCTCCATCCCTTGGGAGGAATGACTTTAGCTAAGCCAGCTCTGTGTGCACCCTGGGATTCCATGGAAGCAATGTATTTGCTGAAATCTGCAAACTCCTCCATGGTTGGCCTGAAGGTCATGACTG